CAAGGTATAATGTTTCTAAAGCACATTGCCCTTCGACCAGAAATCTGTAAATTAAATGAGTGGGAGTGTCCGGATCACGAACCACCGTCCAAAGCAATAAAATTGGGTAAGTGGGTTTCAGATACTGTCTATAGTTTACGCGAGTAGTGCACATTTAAATAAAACACTTTAACGGTTTAAAACGCGATATATTAGTTAAACTTATTTGAAAATGATTTTTAACTTCGGCCCGACGTCTTCGGATGCTTTGCAGCAGCCTGACAGCCACGTCGGGCCGAAGTTAAAAATCATTTTCAAATAAGTTTAACTAATATATTTCGCGTTATAATCCGTAAAATTGTTTTATTTAAGTGATGTAATACCTTTTATCTTTACCAATTCACCGACGCAAGATAGTATTTTCTCAGAAACTAATAAGAAAAGTTAAGATGTGCACATAAAAGAAACTATTGAATGAACACGATTTAGTGTGACCCCTGGAGAGCGATAGATTTTAACTTTTGTATTCGGTTAAACGAATTGGGAGGGCGGAGCGGGCGAGTATAGTTTAGTTATGTAAAACAGACCAATTTCTGCTTCGGAGCGATACATTAACGTCCAATACCTCGGGAGCTTAACCACGAAAGGGTCCATATGTAATAATTTATTATTCACATGTAGGTAAACGGGCTAAGTGGTAATATCTGTAGGCGACTAGTTCCGTGATTAGAACGATACATTTGTGCCCAGCGGCTATCGATTTTGACAAAAATATAACACGGATTCCGTTCAAAACGTTTCACTGCAGTGCAGAATTGGATTTCAGATTTAAACTTTGATTACAATGTCTCGTTATGGACATTTAGTTATTACATTGACTTTTATTAAGGCCTTTTAAAATGTCCAATTTTGTATAGAATGTGATGTGAACGTGCTTTTTATGTTTTTGGCATGAAGTAAAAGCATACAGAACTGGTATTAAAATAACTAACTGGTTTGGCAAACGTTATTTTGAACTGCCGTATTTGAACGGAGTTTGATACCCATAATAAAAGTTTTTTGTGAGATAATCTTAAAATATACACATAGACTGCCGCGGACATTTTTTAAGATCATTTAAAGAAGTAGCATTCTGTTATATCTGTTTTCGTAGCGTACGTATAGGAAGCTCTAATAGATGAATAATTTTCCCCGTTTCCTCCAAATTTCTCTTTGTCTCTTCGATTATATAAAGCCTTTCACGATAAATGGTCCAACGAACATTAAAAAAATTTTTCTAATCGAACTAGTAGTTCTTGAGATAACGTATTCAAACAAACAAACAAACTTTGCAGTTTTATAATATTAGTATAGATATAGATTAGTCTTAATAAAGAGTTGAACGCTAATCCTTTTTTATGATTTACATAATCATATACTTTATTTAATTAAAAATTGAATTATTTATCTTGCATATCGGGCAAATTCAGGACTAATTTATGTAGAAAGATATAATCTAATATCTAAGTTTAAAAGAAACAGTCGTCCTCATCCGATATTCAGTTTCCCTAAAAGCGTCCTCATATTTGGAAGTGTTTTTGCAAGAGAAAATAAAAATGCGAAAAAGTATCCTTATTCTTTGAATTATACAGATAAGGCATCCCAAGAGTACATGTGCGTAATGTACATACACAACAAAGGCATAAAGTGTGTATCTTCAAGATATACATAAGATGTCATGGTATTGCCTGTAGCCCCCGGTTTGAGTATTTGTTTTTTATTATGTACGTAGATCTTGGTATAATCATAGCAATGTATGGCTGTAGCACGGTATGTAATCAACGGGTCTATGGTTTTGATCCCTACCGGATCCAACATATGTAATCTGGATATTAAATGTGTCGCAGGAATATCGAAAATTCTGGGTCACGAACCACACTCCACAGATTAATAATCATTCGATCGATCGAATTCGAATATCCAAAGACAAAACGCCCTGTGTTTTTTTTTACAGGCATGTAGTTGATCAAACTTGTGTGGCTAGTTCGATAATAATATTTTTCAAGCTTCAAGTGATTTCAACCTAGATTCTTAAGCATACTCTTTCAACACCTTTTTACTAAAGCTAATAAAATAGCTGGTCGTTAAATACGGTCTACTTTACGCGAGTAGTACACATTTAAATAAAACACTTTAACTTGACTTTAACGTGACCACGGCTGCTGCAAAGCATCGGAAACGTCGGGCCGAAGTAAAAAATAATTTTCAAATAAGTTTAACTAATATAATATCGCGTTTTAAAGTGTTTCATTTAAATAGCTGGTCGTAATAACCAATATGTTTTTGTTCTAAGTTGGTAGTCATTTTGTTTTACGTAGACTAAATATCTATTTTATTAGTGCGAATAAACATTTTTACAAAATTGAAAGTTACTCATAAGTACGTTTACTTCTTTTCAACGAAGAGAGTTAAAGAGTAAAGAGAGATTATTAAAGAGTTTAGTCCGTTTCCGTACGGCATCTTTTATCATTGTATAGTTTTTTCAATATAGATAGCATGTCTTTTGTTTTTATTAACACATACACATAATCTTGGCTTAGATAAGTCTTCGTTGCAGTAAATAAAGTAAAGTAAGACACGAATATAATATAATACCATGTCAGTATAGTGTTTCCTGAAAACATGTTAAGATAGGATCTCGTGCATGTTTCAGAGACATTCTCTGTTACAAGAATGTTGCAGCTATTACGCCTTACGTACGCCCAACAACGTCGTTAACCGTTTATATATTCCCACGGCTGGGAATTGGTCTTCTTTAAAACTTTAATCAGACACAGGAGTTACTTTGACTGTTGCGATACGTGAGTTTAAAAAACTGTTTCAACTAAAAGTTCCTGTTAATGTTTCATATAGAGCAGAAACTTATGTAGTATTTATTTATTGATGAACCATAAAGATTTTTGCGTATGATTAACACGAAGTTAAAATAAAGTTGGATGGATAAAACTCAGCTAACATACTGTGTAGTTTACGCGAGAAGTACGTATTTAAATAAAAAACTTTTAACGGTTTAAAACGTCTACTACAAAGCATTAGAAACGTCGGGCCGTAATTAAAATTATTTGTTAAAAGTTTAACTAACAAAGCGTTATGAACGGTTAAAAGTGTTTTATTTAAATGTAGCTCAGCTTGTCAATGTCCATGATTAAAGGTCCTACATAGTCTTTTATCCAAATTCTCAAATTCTGTAATGTATTTACATTTCAGTCATTACTAAACTCGACTTACAAACTACTGCAAGTACATTTCCAGGGAAAAGTTTTTGTTATTAATTACTGACAGAACGAGAACCAACCGGTTTTAATTACAGTATTTTTAAGTTTTTCCCTTCTTACATTTTGTTTTGGTGTCCCAAAGAGCTATACTTCTGAGAATATAAATTTTAATTGAAATATTCGTTATCTACACTTCACAGACGAGCTTAATAGAAGAAATAACAATTCTTGCAACGGATTTAAGTACTTACTTAAATAGTTACTTCTACGCAATGGTAAGTGCATGGCTTACTGCTTAGACACAAGAAATCTTGCCTTCGAGTCCCAGGGAAGCATAATAAATAATAGTAGTAATAGTTTTGGCTCGACAGGGCATAGAAGTTTAGAAATTATTGTATCAAGCAGTTCTGGTGACAAATCTAGGCGTAAGAATTTTTACTTCCATAAATTAATGGTTAAACGTGTTGCTCAAAATTTCAACAAACGTGAAAGGTCTTTGTGAGAGGAGCTTCGAATCCCGGGACGTATAATAAATAATAATTGTAGTCGTTTTGGAAAATATAGAAGAATTATCGACAGATGTTAATTACTGCAATAGATAGTTCTTGAGCAGAATTTGAGAGTAAGTATCTTCCAAAGCAAATGCATGCAACGTTGAACGCTAAATGTGGTTTCGAATTCCATCGCGATTTCTGTTTGTTCTTACTGCGAATTTATATATTTTGTGTCGCATTATGTACTTATTCCATCCGATAATGCGTTTAAACAGATGTTCGATAAAAATCACAGCGATCGTGTAACGTTTACATTTAAAATAAAGTGCGAAGAGTGTTCTCCTCTGTTCTGGGTTCTGTTGCGGTTTATAATCGCATCAATGTTTCATTAATAATTATTTAAATTGTTTTAATTTGTTTAAATCACTTTAACTTAAAATATATAAGCGATATACCGAATTATAACCTAATATAACCCTTTATATGGCTAGAGTATTTTACCTACCATCGAGGGAAGTGCTTGTCTGTCTTCCTCTATCAAAAAAAGCCTAATTACCTATAAAAACAATAAATATGACATTATTTTTATTTTCTTTATCAAGTCTTTAAGGTTACTATGATATTAATAGTTATAAAATGATACATTTATATATGAGAGTGTTAAAATAATGTTTTGTTTATTTAAATTTGACGGTCTCGTTGGTCTAATGGTAGTAATGTATGGCTAATAACCAACGGTTCGTGCGTTTGATCTCCACACGTTTCTAATTTTTCATTTTCAAATTATTCTAAAACATGTTGGACTTCGTCTGGTAATCTCGATATTAAATGGGTGGGAGGAATATCGAAATTCCGACGAAGTCACGGACCACCGTCCACAGATGAAAAAGCCGTTGCAGTCTGTGGATTTTCGAATATCTAGAGACAAAATAGATTGACAACGCTTCTTGTGTAGATGGTATATGGCTTGGGTGTTCTACCTCTAATCCCTGCTTTTCTGTCCTCATTGAAAAATAGGAGATAGCCGACTCATAGACTCTAATACTCTTTAATTTTATCACCGGTGTGAAGCAGTAAGTATCTAAAAAATTAAACAATTTATTCAAGGAGACACAAATTAATTTGACTTCAATTTAATACGCTTGCTTTTTTAAACACGTAAAATAAAGATGCAAATGACGCTAACGAAGCCATAACGCAACCCTAAAACATTATCTGTGATCCACCACAGATGTGTTTTACAGAATTAGTTTGTATAAGATTAACGAGTAAAATGGACGTCCGCTGGGTTCTGTACTCGTTGTTTGTTTTTCACAAACTTGTTTCGGTGAGAATAAATCACATTTAGCTCTGTTTTGCGAATAAATGGCCACTTTACTAAGTGTTTTTGTATAGCGTATGTGTAATTGCTGCGCCGTTTATCGTTTTTACGACGAATTAACTCCGTAGTTAAGCTGTGTTGGAAATTGCCTGGAAACAGTTTTGTTAACGGATTGACCTTACTTTATCGTAATCGTCTTTTTAGACGATAGAAACCTAAATGGCCAAATTGCAAATTAGAAATGATACGATTTTAAACAAACTCGGATTATAGCTATAACTTCACTACTTCAATATCTATACAAGACACAACTTTTTTTACTTCAGTTTAATTAGTTCAGTTTAATCCTTTTTTTCATTGATTTCTTCTATAAGAAGTTATTTCTTATTATTTTATTTTAATGTGTTGCTCACTGATTAGAGAAACGATTTATCTCCCCGGAATTAGAACTCCAGGTCTTTCGTACTTATATTACGTTATACCATTGCGCTACGGAGGTGTTGCAACTTATTTGCCATAGTGTTGTAAAAATCTACCCATTTTTATATACTGTCTTAGTAAAACACAGTATATTATACTTTAAAACTTCATATAACAAACATCTATAACTACAGGTTTCTAAAGCAAGTTTGGTGTACTCGCTAAATGATGGATTTGAAATTCCCGCCATAGCGTTGGGTACAAGTTTGGGACATTTATCAGACGTAAGTAGAAAATTATTAGTATTAGTATTGAGTTGGTCTTGGAAGAAAAACACGAATTTGGATAGTCAACTTACAAATAACTTCGATAACCACGACTTGCAAACGCAATATACCAATAGAATAACAAAATAACAAAACAAGACCTAAAAAAAACTTTTTAACGGTTTAAAACGCGATATATATTAGATGAACTTATTTAAAAGTCATTTTAACTACGGTCCGACGTTGCTTTGTGGGTTTTTACGGTGAGTCTCGGCGTGACGATGGCTCCTGCAAAGCATCTGAAACGTCGGGCCGTATTAAAGATAAATTTCAAATAAGTTTTACTTATATGTGTCGCGTTTTAAACTGTTAATATGTTTTATTTAAATGTGTACTACACGCGTCAACTACAGACAGTGTTTAAAACATGACATATTATGTGAAGAATGAATACAATCAAAAGTAAAAAATAAACCTTTTTGCTAATTTCACTTACCTTATACTAATTAAAACAATATCCCAATCCCGAATCACTTATTTAACACATGAAAAAATATATTACGTTTATTAATTAATATTTGATTGAACTTAATTTCCGTTTTGCGAAACTTGACCGCTTGTAAATTTATAATTGCCTCGGAGATCCCGATTAATTCAATTTTCAAAGTCGCCATTTTTTACTGTCCGGTCTATTCTCTTTGTTCTATTGACAAGCTGTCAACAGATATAGAATACTTCTAGTCCACCATAGATCGTATTAGATTATCTACGGTCTCAATTAAAATATGATCTGAACCATAGATCATATTACATTGTCTAAGGTTTGAAAAACGAATTGTGTCCACACGATAAACGCTTTTTCTAATAAAACCACTTTTTCCAAAAGCATATATAAGTATGTATAAAACAATCGAAGTGATTAATAAGATGTATTTTTTAAGGGAACCAGAGTTCTTCCCATAAACCATTCATTAGCGCAGGCAGTGGAGTGGGCTCTGGAGGCAGGATATAGACACATAGACACGGCGTCACTATATCGAGTTGAGGATGAAGTGGGGCTCGGTATTCGGAATTATGTCAGAAATTCCGGTGTTGCTAGACGTGATATTTATGTCACTACGAAGGTGAGCATGAATTTCTCAGTATAACAGTTTTAAAACTTCTATTTTAAAACCTAAATGCAACTAAAATGTGATTTGATGCGACTTGACTACGATTGATTGAATTCGACGGCGATATAATATTGCTTTCACAGACAAACATATAATAGATTTTTCCTTTAAATTAAATGACTTTTCTGTGCTTTGCCCGACTGAAGGCTGTATCGTGTTATCCTATATTTGTTTATACAATTTTTAAATAAAACATTTAACGGTTTGAAACGCGAAAAGTATTTATGAGTAAATATATTTACAATTTATTTAAAACGATAAATTATGTATTATTATTATTTTCTATCGGGGATACCTGTGGTAGGCCGAGTTATCAGTCCACGTTATCAGCTGACCATTTCACCCATTTCCCCAATTCCTCCTTGTAGAGGTTTTCTCTCCCCATGTTCCCTTCAAACCTTCCGGTTTGCTTGCAGAATCTTATTATTTTTTCCATCTGTAGTTCTTTGATGTCATCTTCTGTAACTTCGTCCGAACCCATATCCTCCGCGATTGCTCGAAGAATTCTTTGAGCAATCGAGGAGTTAACATCTCCTGATGATGCCGTCCACACGTGATGGCGAAACGTCCAGAACCTCTTCTCGCTCACATCGGCCGAACAGCCCGAAAGACAATGAAAAACGACCTTTTTATTTATATAGATATTACTTATTGAGATGACAAGTGAATTTTGATCGTAACATCAATTTAAAAAAAAGAATTTGCGTTACATAAATTTCACTTGTGATAATTATCATGTTTCCGCAGTTATGGAACGACGCTCACGGACGAGCCGAGGTTATTCCTGCATTAAAAATATCCTTGGAGCAGTTGCAATTAGCGTATGTGGACCTGTATTTGATGCACTATCCTATGGCATATAAGGTTTGGTACAATTATTGGGTCATTTGGATGAATAATTTACTTAATGTCGCTCATTTTCTTCTCGGTGTTATTAAAAGTCAAATGGTTTTATATTAGTATCGATTACATATTATGTATTGTATAGTGTGGCATACAAATTTCCGTATTTATTTTATTAATTCATTTGTTTAGAAGCGTTTAATAATTCTCTGCCCTGCCATATTTCGTTGTATATTTTTTCTTCATATTTAATGTTGCTTTAAATTTTTATTTAGTAATAAAAACGCCGATACTCGATTCATACCATAAAAATAATTTTGCTCTCTTTATAAAAGACATTACCTTTTTTTATAATAAGCTTAAGTAAATTAAATTGTAGTTCTTTATTTAAACTAGATTTTATTATGTTTTTACTCTGTCAGCGCTCTTATATTAAAAAATACCGTATCATAAACTGTTAGGAATTCTGAAACACCTGAAGGCACTTGTATATTTAAAACTCAACAGCGCATTCTATTATAAGTTAGGAACTTAGGTCAGGTCGCTTCTGTAGAAAATGTATGTAACAGCAAAATATAGAGCTGTTTATAGGTGCAAGGTGAGATAGCAGTACAATTTTTTGCAAATGAAGTTCTACATTTTAAAATAGTTATATATTGTCCATGATTCAGACAGGCGTCGGAAGCTCCAGAAGTGAAAGAAGCTTAAGACGCTAGCTTAATAAATAAATGGTAAAAAAGGCAAGCTGTTGGTCGCGCGTTCGAGTCCCGTCTGTTTCTCCGAGCTTTTAATCAAAATAAGTCTTTCAATTAATTTGCGATGTTACAACATAAAATAGAATTGTAGTATACTTTTCATTAGGTAGTGCCATATACATATAGTTTATTCGCTGGTATGCGATACCCGTTTCCCGCGTGCGGCATGGGCCGAACACATTTTTATGTCCACCAACACCACACGTCTGAAAACCGGATGCACTGTCGACCTATTATAGCTTTGGATATTCGATTATTATTCAACTTATTGATACATGCACCTTATAATGATCTAGTGGGGATCTGACCTACAACTCGATTATTAGCCATACGTTTATTTTTTTATTCACATTTCTAACGATACACCAACGAGTCTAGCAACGCGTATTTCTTTCAATATAAACCTAACTCAGTTTGAACCATCTGCTGCATCTAAACTTTGCGGAAGATACTTTGATACTACAAGCATAATGATACTGGAATGCTAGCATCTCCATAATATGAGAAATTTATGAAGCATAACTGTGTATATTTCACGGCGACTACAAGACTTCTCAACTATCCTAGATAAGGCACTCCGCAAAATTGAAATTGTGCGTTATAAATCTCTTAAATAGATGCGGTAGATTTTATCTTGTCCCCGAGTAAAAATGGCGTTTTATTTATGATTTTTAATAATTAGCTCCGCTTGCGGAACAAAGACTGAACTATCCACGACTCGAACGAGTTTATAACAATTATTATAACAGCAAACTAGGATTATGAAAGGCTTTGCAATTTTAATCATAGTTAAAATAATGTTGCTGTTCTGTGGATGAAATCAATGTTATTGTTCTCGTTTTTCTATAATCTATGTTTTATGAAGCATTATATTTTTTAATTGTTTGTTGTTAAACGCGATATATTAGTTAAACTTAATTTAAAAATCGAAAATAAATTATATAGTGCCTTCATGTGCAATAACATGTAAAAAATAATAAAGTTTTCATTAGTTAAACTTATTTGAAAATGATTTTTAACTTCGGCCCGACGTTTCGGATGCTTTGCAGCAGCCGTGGTCATAGGGAGACTGAAGTTAAAAATCATTTTCAAATAAGTTTAACTAATATATCGCGTTTGAAACCGTTAAAGTGTTTTATTGAAATGTGTACTACTCGCGTAAACTATAGACAGTATTTAATCAATTTATTTAAAACTACTGATGCGATATTTCGGGTGCCTTTATTGTATTAATAAAAAAAAATATCGAAAATTAAGTGAGGGCTAGATTACATTAAACTAATCAATCTTTCTGAACACGCTAATTTCTGAAAATACAGCACGGATCTTTTCTTGATTTTAAATAGTTTTATTTGTTAAAAATTACAATCTTTTGCATTTATTCTAATTTAGCTAATTTAATTTTTGGTATATATTTGAGGCTTTTATATTTTTAAGATAATAATTTATGAATTCGTTATAGAAAGACGGAACTGTAAGCCTTACTGACTACCTAGAGACATGGAAAGGTCTGGAAGACGCTAAAGACGCTAATCTTACAAAGTCTATTGGAGTGTCAAATTTCAACCTGTCTCAAATGCAGCGTCTCTGGGATCATTGCAGAATTAAGCCAGCCGTTTTACAAATAGAGGTTAACTTTATTACTACATGTTTAAAATAATAATACTATCTTCGCAGCTACATAAAATAGGCACAGTTCTCTAGACTCTCAAGCAATAAGGAATACAAAAAAAACATTGTTTAAATAAGTGCTGTTAAACGTTTCACGTGTTAAACATTTAAAAATGTTTAAAACGTGAAATATATTAGCTATTTCTATTTTTTTTTGCCACGACCCGACGCTTCGGTTGCTTTATAGCAGCTTTTAAACTATTCAAAGCGTGGTCATTAAAAATGTATATGTAGGTACTACTCGTGTAACATAAAGACTAACCTGAGCAACATATAAATAATGAATGTTTTGGTTGAAATGTTAATGTATTTACTTCATCGCTAGGCACTGGTAAGAACCGACCCACCACGCTGTCCCAGTGCGGGTTTGCGGGGTGCCATTATAAATATGTACCTGTCAAAGTTATAAATTAATCACTTTGCCCATATCCTTATTAATAATGCCCAGTTAATCACGTTGTCTGTGATTTGCGATGTCATAGCAAACTTTGAACGTGATGCTCGAATTTATATCACACAAATATCACAACTCAACACTTATAGCTGGATGATAATGGTACAATTGAAATAACGGCATTGGACTAACGCTGGACTTCAGTACATTATCCATTCGAACACATTGTGTGGTCCAACATATTATATGCGGCCTTCATATATAATAAAATAGCGATATGGGAAAAATAATTTAAAAAGCTAATTTCATGCCACAAAAATACTTACAAAGCCGGGGTTTTCTTTCCGTGTAGTAGATATAATTTATGTTTAACAGAAAAATCATATTTTGTTTTATTTCATTTGAATACAATATTGTGTTTCAGGTGAACCCGAGCATAACACAGAATGAATTAATTAATTGGTGTAATAAGCACGGTGTTATAGTAATGGCATACAGTCCATTTGGGGCAATATTGGGACGGAAGAAAGATGCACCACCACCACGTTCGGATGACGCCGTTCTCACGAGGATTGCCCTTAAATACAAGAAGACGGTGCCTCAGGTTTTACTTAGATATCTGGTTAGTATATTCATAAACAATTTGTATATGTTCAAAGACATACAGTTTAATGTTTTTTCCTTATAACAAGATAAATACTTCAATTTTGATGGCAGATAGATACTGTCTATAGTTTACGCGAGTAGTAGGCATTTAAATAAAATACTTTAACGGTTTAAAACGCGATATATTAGTTAAAATCATTTGAAAATTATTTTTAACTTTGGCCCCACGTTTCGGGTGCTTGGGTGGATGGCCACGGGGAGACTCCCCGTGACCACGGCTGCTGCAAAAAAAACCTCAGACCGAAGTTTAAAATCATTTTCAAATAAGTTTAACTAATCTATCGCATTTTAAATCGTTAAAGTGTTATATTTAAATATAATTAAAACGTGAAAATGAGAGCTTAATAAAAACTGATAACACGTAAACACAAGCGGGCAAACAAAAGCATACTCTACCTTCCTCTTTTTGGAGGTTGGACTGACAAACATGTGATTTATAAAACTTGATGGCAGTAATACCGCTGCCCTATAACGTCTAAACAATATGCTCTGTCAAACTATTTTGACTTTGGATATTCGGAAATTCACTGACTGAAACCGATAACTCGATTACTCTTCACATTTCTATCTGAGGACTGTGGTTTGTTACCCGGATGGACCCACTTCTTTCCATATATTAGAAAAAAACGAATTGATGGGAAACATGCTTTACTTAGCTATGGCATTACTCTATCTTATCTTTTTTACACTTTTAAATTAATCAATTAATTAAAATTTAATTCGTACATTTGCACACGTTCCTTAAATATCTATTTTATAAGATGAGGAACCAGAAATGCTACATAATATATACGACTGCTAATATTATACAATCTCAAGTGAATTCATAGTTTAATATAAAATAAAGTGTTAATAAAGATTCCGCGCCTACCGTACGGTTTAAGTGTTACTGTAACTATTAGAGATAGACGTGGTATTTACAATCAAGGAAATCGTTTCCGCCCGTCTCCCAATTTTATCTAAGTAATTGGTTTGCCGAGTTTAGTTCTAAATTGTTCGGTTTGCAGAATTATTTTATGAATCCCTCCTTTAATTCAAACACTTGCAATAACGAGTTTTTTAATGCCACTATAAAACGCTTATATTGTTTTGTTGAACTTAAAAAAATATAAATGTAACAAAAACGAATTGAATTAAGTTATTTTTTTTTTAAATATTTATTTTAATGATTTTTAATATTGATAATTTCTATATCCTCACCATCCATTTAATATCCAGATTTCCAGACGAAGTCCAACATGTTTCAGAAAAATTATAAATTGAAAAATTAGAAACATGTTGGAGCTGGTGGGAATCGAACTCGCGACCTGTTGATTGATAACCGTACATCGCTACCACTGGATTAACGTCAATAAACGTTAAACGCCCCTCGCGTTAGGTTAGGTTAAAGTATAATATAAAGTAATGGCGAGCGTTGTGCACTTGTCTAAATTTAAATATCGAACGAAAATTCAACATAAGGTCTAGAGTAGTCTATGGTCTAGGTATAGATCATAGTTTTAATAGACTTAGAAGTAAACGCAGTAGGAAAAATGTTACGTATGCTCTTGAACGTCGAGCATACGGAGGTAAGTGTTGAAAAAAAATATTCCTCCTTTTCCAATTTGAATCCCGTCTCAACCTCATTTTAAATTCAAGTAGAACGTATTCAGAGCTAGTAAAAATGAAAAAAAACGGGAAATTTAAAAAGTTAAAAGTTAGGCTCGCTCACAGGTGAATAAGGAATACTGGTTATGTCGTAATTGTTAACGTTGCGCAAAAATTGTTAACACAGACAACAAAATACGTTCTCTTAGTTTTCGATATTTATGACAGCAAGGCTAAGGTAAATTTACTCGTTTATATCATTCAGGAAGAATGTAGGTCACATCAACGTGAACCTTTCTAAATGTCAGATAGTCGCTATATTATAGTCATTGTGTGTGTCGTTTCACCTCGTGGGGCATAGGGCGAACACATTTCTGTGTCCGTTTTACTAATCGGTTTTATATACAGGCAAGTAGTTGATCAGACTTCTGTGCCCTGCCCCGACCGAAACAATTTACAGTTTCCCCGGGATTCGAATCCAGAACCTTTCACGCTTAACGCAATTCTAGGCAACACATTTAACCATTTAGCTTCAGCGGCGGTCATAGTCATTGTAAGGCAACTAAAAAATATCTGAATTGAAATATTGTTGTAAAAAAGTGTGGGTTAACATTTGTATTGCAGAATTAGTTTTTAGTGATCCACGATGAAAACAAATTATTATTTGCAAACAATTTCCGCCTTTTCAAACACGTTCCTTCCTGGAAAATCTAGGTTTTCCAGTTTGAAATTAACTACATATTTAAATGGTGAGTGGATTTCAAAATTTCGTCTAAATCACGAACATAATGAATAAAGAATTTAAATTGGTATTTCGGTTTCTTCAAAATAGGCCGACAGCGCATCTTAATTATAAATTACAGAGCTGACTTATTCCCCAAACTTCAGATAAACCAAAGCATGTCCTGATTCATAAAAAAATACTTTTGATATTTCGGCAGTCTCATTGGTGTAATGGTAGCAATGTATAATCAACGGGCCGTGGGTTCGATTCCCATTTGCTAATCAATCTATAATTTTCTCTCTCGAAATCTGGACATTAAATGGCTGGTAGGAATATTGCAATTCCGTCCGCGTCACGAAGAACTGTCCACAGATGATAAAGCCGTGAAGTTTTATCGCGTTTCGATTGCAGTCTATGGATTTCCCAATATCAAAAGCCAAAATCGGCCGATTGCTCATCTGGCTTAAATGTAATATGGCATGGCATTAAATCTTATGCTTGTCTGTCCTCTATTATAAAACAGAAAATTTATATTATTTTTCCTCGACGCAGCTGGACCGCAAGTTAGTCGCCATTCCACGGTCAACGAACAAAGAACGTATCAAGCAAAACATCGACCTAATGGATTTTTCACTCAATTCTGAAGAAGTTGAAGAGCTGTCGAGCTTTAACAGTAATTACAGGCTCCGGACACCGGCTAAGTGGTATTCACATCCGTTCTTTCCATTTGAGAAAAAGAACCTTACGGATACTCAAATAAGATACATAATCGAGCACAGCAAAGAAGATTGAGAGATAAAGGAAAAATTTTGATTTCCACATCCGAATGATTACAATATTGCGGTTGGGAAGAAAGTTTTGATCGGTGATAATTGAATCCGGAATTTCCATTAAGAAATCTTTTACTTTGCGAAGACAAATATTAAGGAGTTTTCTTGCATTGGCTTTGTAAGAGCTTAGTTATTCTTAATTCTTTCACGTTTGTCCCTCGAAATTACTGTCCAAATTTCAATGTATACCTTCTTTAATAAATGTCATAAACCACCAATTAAACGACTATGTATTTAAGTTAAAAATAAATTGAAAAAAAAATACAAATCGGACAGGAATTGAACCGGCATCTACAGCGAACCGTGATGCTGCTCTAACCAATTGAGTTACCGTAATCTACACGTCATCGTCGTTTTTTTTTCAACCTAGTGATACATGCAGTTTTCGCGCAATGTATCTACTTAACTATGTATTAATTACACTTGCTTATCTCTAAAATAAATGATAAAAAAATAATACTAGTAATTGAATTGTTTGTTCCTGTAGACATTTCAATTGATTTAACATCTACGCTTGATGAATATTCAATAATTGGAATTTTAATTAAGTTACAGAGGCTAGCTTTCGAGAATCAATAAGATTTTTCTCGTATCTATTTATTACATTAGTTGGCCTTCGTTTAAAAGTGTCATCTATACTAATATATAAAGAAGAGTTTGTTTGTTTGAACCGGCTAATCTCAGGAACGACTGGTTCGAATTGAAAAATTATTTTTTGTTGGTAAGAGCATTTATCGAGGTAGGTGCGCTGTGACAAATAGGCAAAGAAACAGCGGGAAATGTGGAAATAACGGGGGAAATTATTCATCTCTGTGGTTCTCTGATGCGTACGCTGAAATAACGGTTCAAGACACCCAAAAAAAAGTACGAAAGCATGATCTCTCTTTAAATGATCTAAAAAAATGTCCGCGACACTATATGTCTATCTTTAAAGATTAACTTTCAGGAACGAAGGGACACAAACGACCGGACGCGACCAATGTCGTGGGTAAGAGCTTAAATTTATATAGATTATTAGACTTATAAAGGCGAAAACAAATTTGGATATCCCAAAAAAACTATACTACGCAGACGAAGACGCTGAGACAGCTGAGTGATAAAACCACCGTACAGTCTATTTTTAGTACCATTTATAATTCATACCGATTAATTCACAGACTAAACCTTGTATAAATAAACTCTTAGTTTAAAATAGCTATTTTTAGATCTCTGAAGTTAATCTATAGCTCAAAAAAGTTAAATCCCATTTCTCCTCGTGGAGCATGCCACATTTTATTTACAAATTCTGGTGGCTGTCTGACTGACACAATCTATTGTTCCGCTGGATTCGAACTCAGAACCTCTCGCGCTTAATACAATGCTAGGCAACAAATGATTTAGCTAAATAGGCGCCCATCTCTATAGCAATAAAATTTTCATACCATGTTTAAATAAAACACTTTAACGGTTTAAAACGCGATATATATTAGTTAAATTATCTGAAAATTATTTTAACTACGGCCTGACGTTTCGGAAGCTTTGTAGCCGTGGTCACGGGTCTCCCCGGTTAACTAATATATATCGCGTCTTAAACCGCTATAGTGTTTTATTAGCTATTTGTTATTTGCTAGTTATCTTGTATATTTATTAAATAAACTTAGCTAATTAGATGTTATGTAAACTCACATTGGCATCAGTTTAAACCTTGGTGGTTTTTTATTGCTATCAATATATAAATAAATGTATTTGTTATGGTGATATGATAAATAAATGAAAAAAAAATTAAATGTGTACTACTCGCGTACACTACAGACAGTATACTATCATTGTTGTCAAATATTTAAACATATACAGTCATTCAAACCAGATACTGCCTAAATTAAACACCAAGGCAATATTGATTTAAACATGAACCCTTCATTCAATTTGTATCAAAACGGTTCCTTATTTCCTGTAAAAAATCGATACGTTTAATTATTGACTGTGTTTGTGAAACGTGTTGTAGTAAGCGGACCCTTTTTGACCCCAGTTTACTTTCAGAGTTTGCGTGAGAAAATTACAGGGACCAAACAATCTAAATATATCAAACTATCCTTTATTGAACACAGAATGTTATGTGTTTGTTTCAATATAATATTGTCGTTTTAATAATAAAATGTTTAATTTAAGAATTAATCCATTGCCACCTCTGTAGCCAAATGGTTGAACGTGTTGCCTTTGAATTAAGTGCGACGAGTCATAGGTTCAAATGCCGGGTAAACAATTGATTGTTTTGTGAGGCCGCGTAAGTCTATATGCGTTTATGGAAATGTTTTCGCCTTAAGCTCCACGGAAGGAACATGTCATTACTTTTTTTAAAAAATGTATAAATAAAAAAAAAGTCTATTGGTCTCCTTGATTGCTTAAAGTGCTCTTTGAAGTACTGGGTGACCCCAGCTACTTTCTACCTTCGAACGGATTCGAACTCGCGACAGGGTGATCTTCAATAATGTTTACTAACCACTAGAGTCTAGTAGAGATATATAACTGCCTCTATGGTCTAGTCAGTTATATGTGTAGCAGACAAATTAATTGGAGACAAAAATGTTTCCTTGAAATACGGGATGAAATGAGTGTGAGTCGATTAAATACTTACCTCCTTCTTATCTTCGAGAAGCTGAGCTAGTCTTTTTAATCTTCTTACTCTATGTACAAACTAATTGAATTTCTTTACCATGCTTATAAAGAGAGCGCTTTCAAGCTACTTTCTAAGACTTGCTAATCGCTTAATTGTCAAGAAAACTTCTAGCTGGCTGGATAACAGCATAATTATAATTAAGTGAAATGTTATCGCCTTGGCTCAATTGTAGGTTGCCTTGCAATGTTTCAAAAGGGAGGGATGTTCGAATCTTTGACAATCGTAAATTTTAATTTTCAAAATCTATTTTCGATGATACCGGCACTTATTTTAAAATTGAGTGCTTGATTCTTAGAGCATTGGCCCATGACGGTGTCGCTATGGATTTGAGTCCCAGGCATGTCATAATTTTTGAATGTAAAGTAGATTTTAAATTTTTATCACTTGTCACGAGCATTATGTGAAAAATAAATTGTTTTAAATAAAACACTTTTAAATCTATTGAACGCGAAATGTATTTAAATTTAACGCTGTGGATGTCTGTTCACTTCCTGCAAGAGTCGTATTTTTTTTCAATTTATAATCGATTTTTAATTTTTGTACTTTTATGTATTTACTTACTTATATTTAAGAAATGATATGTCACTAAATGATTTTAAAACGTCTCTCATCCTTATTTATTATTGCGATCTCCACTAGAGTCAAACAATATTTTCCCTCGTAGAGGTTCACATTCTTAAATTGCTTTATAATGCCCAGAGCTATCGTTTCATTTCTTCACTGCGAAGCGCTAAAAATACAATTCTTTTAAAGTAACATAAGCTCTTCTGAGAAACCTCAATATGATTCTAGTCTTCGGAGCGAGATCCGATGTTCGTCTCGTAGAATATTAATGAAAGCAAAATCATTTGGATATTAGTATTCTGAAGGGAATCGATCGCATTTTTATTCGTAAGGGATAAATCCAAGTTGAATTCTTAATTAATTAAGAGCTATGCCTTGTACGGATTGAATGTCTTGCTTTATGTTCGGGACTTCTGTGCGGGAGTAGATTAAGCAAGTTGCTACTCTTTCATGCGGGTAATTGCTTAATTTATCGGCGCGCTACAAATGTTTTAGATTTCCGCGCGTGACAGTTCAATAACTAATGACACTGTCGTTTCCTGCAAAGCTTTCTGACTTTATCTGTTATTCAGCTAAAGCTTTATTTAATACACTTGGTGATTTTATTATAGTTCGTTAAATAGTTAACAAAAATGTCTGTTACTTTCAGTGTTTTTATCTGTAGTTTAGACGAGTAGTTTTTTGCAATACTGGTCGCTGATGATGGAGGGTGTTCCTAATTTAAAAGTAAAATACGATAAATGATAGCGCCATCTCTTTTATCTTAGTTATTATTTCAAGGACCTGGGCTATTACAGAACTGTCTCACGGTGTCCTCTCGTTTACTGGATGTTATTTTTTGGGATCTAGTGTTTTTCTTCCGTGCCGTCTTTACGACGGTCTCTTGGTCGGGCCGAAGTTAAATTACATTTGAAATACGTTTACTTATATATTTCAAGTTTTATACTGTTAAACTTTTTTTAAATTACTAACACTGGTTATACACGCTATAACGATACTTTACATACGAACATGTAAACAAAAAGCAGGTGAATTTTTTTATATAAAATATGGTAACAATTGTTTTTAATAAATTGTCAAGTTTAAAAATTCGTCACTTTTGTAGGAAACGAGACCCAACTTCATGTACAATGGTATAGACATATAGCTGTGAGCTGTGTCTGTTTTGTTTTATTATGGACAATGGTATAATAGCCGATTAAGAATTATTTGTTTATTCTTAGTAATGCTAGCCTCTTTAACGTTGATAGTTCTAGGAACAATAAACACATATAATAAATGAAAAACAAAAGCTACTCTTTCGCTGAACTTGTATCAAATATATATGTAGTGTGTTGAGCCGAACTAATGTGTTGCCGGCGCGCGGCGACTGTATTAATGTTGGAGCTCAGTAGAACGCTACTGCGGCCGCCTCTAACGCTCTCTGTATAAATGATACACCTACTTGTAACACGTAATCTTCTAAACTAAGCTCTTGTATAAATTATGCGCCCGAGAGATGTTATTAACAGCTATTTTGTTTATTCTGTTCGAAATGATAACGCGTTCTTCCGCTACACTGCTTTGTTTGTTTAGGTCTTTCACATTTTTCGTTGTGTCCAGTTGGGACGTTGACAATTAACATTCAACAATAATTATGTTTGCTTATTGACTCTGTAATATTCAACTACAAAATACGTTATTTATTGTGGTTTCATAAATAAGACGTTTAAGTTCTTCCACGATGTCAACATTTATAAGTA